TACCCATCCATCTATCTACCTGTCTATCTATCTATCTATCTATCTATCTATCTATCTATCTGTCTATCTATCTACCTAGCTATCTATCCATCTTAACAGCCGCTTCAGAAGGCAAACTAATACAACTTTTTAAAAACAGAACGTGGAAATATAACAACAAAAATAAGCACAACTTGTTAATGGGGCACTCCTAAGTATCTTGCCAAGAACAAGGTACTTCATATATCCAGATTTAATTCAAAGAGCACACCCTGCAGAATAACTAAGGTCAATACGCAGCAGGTCATGTTTAAGGAGTATGTGGAGTAAAGCGATTCACCTGCTTTATACCCCAAGGTATGCTGAGTATAGATGTGCCCATCATTGTGTTCCATATAGCAAATCTGCAAAGGAGAGATGAAAGCAAGGTCAGAATGAAAGCAGTCGGAGTATGAAGAGCACATTTAGCTCAGGGTGATGGACTGTTCAGCTGACGGGGCTTACATGGTGATGAAACTAGGGTTTTTAGAGGAGTGGTCGCTGCCTGTCACCTTGAAAGCTGTCCCCAGTGGGCTGTAGATGTAGATCTCCTCTGTGTGCGGGATCACATGGTCTGGAGGACTCTGAAGGGGAAAGAAAACATTTATTTTTTATTTTTCTATTCCACACATGGCAGTTATTTGAAAGGTCACCTACCATGCTATTTTTAGGCAATAGCATAGGTCTCAGATATATACAAATATATAAAAAACATGTCTATGAAGTGTTTTGCTCAAAATACCAAACAGATCACCCATTCTGGCCATGCCTCATATCCCTCTATTTCACTTCCTGTTTCAAAAGGGCTGATTTGGGGTATAAAGCTTTAACAAAAAAATGATACAAAAAAAAGAAGGGGTGGCTGAGCTCATGCGGGACCCGGCAGCTACTGTCTAAACTAAATACTGCCGTGATGAAACGCCATATCATGGATTATCAAGGATTCTCTCTGAAACAGTATGGAGCTCAAAGGCTTTCTCTCTTGCCGGTTATACCACAAGGTGAGTTCCTTTTTACTTCCTGCTTCTTCACACACATGCTCTCCAGTACAGGTTAGCTCTGAGTGTTAGCGATGCTAATGTAAACACCGGCCATATTACGTCCAAAACAGTCGGGCATTGTTTCTGATAGCAACGTTTCTGATAGGGCCGTGGGTCCACATTTCAGATATTATGTCATATCGGACGCAAGTCAGCTCCGTTTCCCCCCATTTTTAGAGATTTGGGTACGGAGGAAAAGAGAGAGGGTTTTATTTTCTGACGCTGCGTGAGTTCCCTGACACACCGGGGACACATGTTGATGTATAAAAGACATTAAAAAGTGCATTTTGCATGATAGGTCCCCTTTAAGACAAAACATGTACTTTGTACTGGCATGGTGGAAAGGAGCAGGGAGAAGAACATCTTATTTTACCTGCCTCTCCTTAAAAAATAATTTAAAAAAAATAATGAAATAACTATAAAAAGTAAATTAAAAGCAAAATTATTTCAGTCACAGATGGTTACAAATACTGAAAAATAAAACCAGAACACAATCAAAAGTCAACTTCATACTGTCTAAAATTAAGACTTTATGTACACTATGTCAGGAGGGAAAAACACAGAATTAACAGGTACAGTAACAACGGTGTTTATGAAAAATAAAGGCATAAAGACGTTACATCTGTTTAATATTACATATGTCAGGGAAACTGAAAGATCTTAGCGAAAACATAACCACATAAAGTTAAATTAATGTGTTTATTTCTTGGGTTACAATCTTGTGCGGTTGGCATGTGCCTCTCTTTACAGGTAGTAAATATATGTATATAATATCCTGCTTTATTTATATTTTCTACTTTTGTATTGCCGTTTTATTTCTATTTTAAGATGTTTCTATTTTAGAATTGTTTATTTCGTCTCTTATATTTCTCTTATGTGCAATGCCTTGTCTGTTATGCTGCTGCAACGCAAACATTTCCCAAAATGGGATCAATAAAGTACATCTTATCTTATAGAGTACAAAAGGTGTTTATGAAAATAAACGCATAAATACGTTGAGAGCCAAAACGTGTCTTTCATAGAAATTAAGAGTTTAAAAAAGCATCTCACTATTTACTCGTTGTCAATTTAAAAGCTTGAATGGAGGATATTGGAACAATCTCACGGTCCACTATAATAACCATAGATGGGTAATCACACGGGAAATAAACGTGTTGCATGGTTATTGCCTGGGTTACAATCTTTCATTCATCCAAAAACATCTGATATGTCAAGAGGTTATAATATTGACATCATGCCATAGATGTTAATGTATTGAGTTGCAGAGATAGCTACTGAAATTAGCATGCTAACTGATTAGTCCCGTCCTGTCTTGACATACCACTTGTCCCGCTAAAGTCTGTGACGTCATTTGGGCCCAAACATACTTTGTTCCACATTGGGAAAAAGATGTCCGCAAATCGATTGGGGGCAGGGCTCGAGGAAAACACTTGGCGGATGCTCTTTGTTCCCCAGATTGTTGTACTGGGTAGTCAGGCCAATGAGCAACTTTCAGAGGAATGAACGGGGCCCTGCTTGAAATACTGTATCCAATTCTCTCTGTACATCCATGATCATGATAAGTGGTCCCTGGCCATGACAACTAAGGTTAAGGTTAGTTTACTTGAACAGCACATTTTAAGACACAGAGGCAATTAAAAGTGCTTCACGTAGGCATTTAACACATAATGATTTAAAAATAATTTTAGGCGATAAAATAACGGTTGCAGCGAGAAGTGCAATGATAAGGCTCGGTTATAGCATCTCAGGATAGGCAGTATTAAAAAGAAACCTTAAAGGGGACCTATCATGCTAAATCCACTTTTGTACATCTTTTATATATGAATATGTGTCCCCGGTGTGTCAGGGAACTCACCAAGTGTCAGAAAACACAACCCTCTCTCTTTTCCTCCATACCCAAATCTCTAAAAACGGGGCTGCAACGGATCTGATACAGCAGTCTGTATCAGATCCGTTGCAGCCCCGTTTTTAGAGATTTGGGTATGGAGGAAAAGAGAGAGGGTTGTGTTTTCTGACACTTGGTGAGTTCCCTGACACACCNCAGAATCAAGTTTATTGCCAGGTATTACAGGTATACAGGAAATTGCGATATTTTCTTCCCCTGCGATATATATTGCCATATGAAAAAATACAGGAATTGAAGAAAAGGCAGTTTTTTTTGTCCGTAAACCATATTTTCTTGAACTTTAATGCTATACAATTGCTATTTTTTTCAACAAGCTGACCTAGCTCGGTTAGCAGCGCCGAACTGCCCTGGAAAAACACATGAAACTACTTTATTCAGTGTTTTAACCTTAAATCACCGGGTCCGTTTGCTTTGGAGATTTGATTGTGATTGGTGGTTTGGTCACTCACTCAGGTTGCCCTGACATGAGAGTTTTCCTTTTGTAGCAAGCAGCAAAATAATTGTAACATGACGTGTTTGAGTTAATTTGTTTAACACGTCCAAAAAAAAATATATAAAAAAAAAATATATATACTGTATATATTTTTTAATCGCACTTCCTGCGATGTGAATATCGCGCATGCGCATATCGCGATTATCGTCACGACACGATATATCGTGCAGCCCTATCTGGTACTTTACACACACTGGTGTCTGGTGGAGCAAACATAAACAATCTAAGAAAATAAGTTAAAAAATGTAAAGATAATAAGTATTTAAAAAAATATATTTAGAATTTAAAAAGACAAGTATTTACAGCAAATGTAAATATACAAAGAACCTTAAAAGCTAAAAAATTAATAAAAATACCCTATTTTATATTACCTTTTTTTTTTATATAGGAAGAATGCTTAAAAATAATAACCACACACTAAATGCCGTGCAGTAAAGCCTTTATGCTGACATGTTCTTCACCTGATCAACATCTCAAGACTATTAACATTTAAAATAGTGTAAAACTGAAACTTCATCAAGTTGTATAAAGATGAAAATTCAACAGTAATTAACCAAATACCTCAATGTCATTTTGACACAATATTGTATAATTTGGTGTTTACTAAATACTTTCACAATGACATGATACATATTTATCAGTAATGTGGATTTAATGACAAAGGCATATCAAACATCAGCTTTAACAGTCAGTTCAGGGAATGATGATGACGTCACTGTAATGCTGCCTTAAAACCAGGAAAAGACAATATCTAGAATCATAATATCACAAGAACGCCATAGAATGGAATCAAATCTTTATATTATACATGAACAATAAGTAAAAACATGACAAACATCAGGGGGCCGTGGCTCTGTGACTCGTTGAGCTTGAAGAGGAAGAGGAAGGGGGGCTCCTGGAGTCTGGATCAGAACCATTTGGTCTCTTAAAGCTCCTTTGTGTGAACCTAGAGAACTCTGAAACCAGTTAGTGTGTTTCCTGTCGAGATCACTGCAGCGCCAACAAAGGTCATCCTATCTAATGTATAAAATAGACCATCTTCAAACCTGATTAAAGGAAACATCTGAATCACTCTGCTTCAGAATATAGTGTGAAAGAAGCTTCAACAATTACAATATCTTTATTTTTACATACCGTGGATGATATGCCCAGGCAAAGTGATTACTAGCTAGAATGCAACGGCAGTAAGGTCAGCATTGTTGTGGCAATTTTAGAAAATGCTCAAAAGCGATGCCTGCTTTTCAACAGTCGGAGTGATTTTCCTGTTGTATTGTTGGGTGTGGTTTATCTTGAGAACCCCTCACCTAAACACTGAACACTGTGATGCCTCGGGTTCTGAGCAGGGTGTCACCATTTCAAATCCAAACTTAAAATCAAGTGAAATTAGCTTTTGATTTAGTTCCTCCAAAAACAGATCCCCCAGTGGTTTACAGCTCTTAGACACAGAGCATCAGGGGCTAAGGGTGGGCAATATGACCTGAAATGTGACAGTTTATTTTGCACCGATCGTACTATATACAGGTATAACAAAAGCAAAGGGGATATGCATCTTTCGGCTTTACGTTTGACTCTTTTGGCGATATAAGTGGAACATAATTGGCGGTCCAAAATGCTTAAAAAAAAGAAAAATGTCATCCCCGAAATAGAGGTGCTACGCCATTTGTAGTCTGACATACAGCAAGTCGAAGTGGGGATTACAAAACACTACATATGCATCTTTGAAGTATTTTTGTATTTGTATAACTTTGATGCAGTGTGAACATAACAGTTGTAAGTGAAATGATAAAGAAAGAATAAGAAAATATGTCTAGGTTTCATAGATGCTATGATGAATACAAACGAAATGTAATTGTATGCAGTTTTGACGATGTTTACTGTCTTATTGCCCACCTTAGGCTACGCTAAGCAATGTTTTCTGTTTTTATACTAAAGTCAGGTCAACGTACGTAGTCTATCTGAGAAAAAATAGGATGACTGTCTTTAATACGTGGAGTTAAATGCACAGAAATACAAAAAGCACTATACCACAAATATACAACGGCTTCACACAGCAAGTAGAAACTAATTCCTTTACTGTGACTTCATGCTCGTGCACTGACTTACCGACTGTTCTACATAAATATTGCATGTTTTACGGCTGCTCTGTGCCAGTTACTGATTATATTTTACAACATGCTTCCTGCAAGTCAGGTGATGAGCGTTGGGAGCCTGAACGTCTGAGGCATCATGGAGGATGACTGCAGGCCTCTGCTGAGCTCCGATCAGCAGCCGGCAGAGAGCTATTCCCAGAGAGGCTCCACGGACTCCCTGGACTTCAGGGCTAAAAGGTAGAAACACGACACCGATCACTATCACTATCACCAGCACTGCGTCTGCGTGACAGAGTAATGCAGACACACACTGAGGGTCATGTTCAATACGAAAGAGGGTGTGCAGACTGAGAGCTATAGTGACAGCTTTAATACCAGTCAACAGACACTGGGTTATATTTCATCATATACAGGATTTCTGGGCAAAAATCTGTCACACATTTTTTCTTTTGAGCTTGTAAAGTGTTTGTCTAAAAATAATTGCAGTGGTGGATTAATCCTGTGTGTGTGTGTGTGTGTGTGTGTGTGTGTGTGTGTGTGTGTGTGTGTGTGTGTGTGTGTGTGTGTGTGTGTGTGTGTGTGTGTGTGTGTGTGTGTGTGTGACCCTGAGCATGTAGTGTGTGTTAGATAATAAACATGTCCTTATGACATATAACCTGGAACCCTCATGAGCAAATACTGAGAAGTTGAATGTGTGTGTGTGTGTCATGCACCACCTGAGTATTGGTACTGTGTGAGAGTTTTAATCCAGTTAGCTATTTCACAGTGACCAACTAGCTTTCTAGGACATACTGTAAAGCACATACCACCAAACCTGAAACTACTAATTACCAGTGTGTGAGGTGTAAAAAAATAATGGGAATAATACAACTATAAACAGAACTCAGCACTTTGGCTCCTACAGCTGGTTTTAAAGAGTCCTTGGCATGTTTGATTTAATGGACTATGAAAAACTGAATTCCTTAATTGACGTTATTTTCCTCTACTTTTGTAGGCCTTTCTACGTGGAGCCCAGGAACATCGTGGGTGACGTCCCGCAGGAGAGGGTCTCTGCTGAGGCGGCCATCCTCAACAGCAGAGTGCATTATTACAGCCGGCTGACCGCCTCCTCTGACAGACTGCTAGTAAGTCACATCCCTGCTAATCACTAGTTTTGAGCTTTTAGCTTTTATGCACCACAAACCTGGAACAAACTGTCTGGAAATCTGAGGTCCGCCCTAACCCTGGGTTCTTTTAAATTAAAGTGGACCTATCATGCTATATTTTAATACTATATTGTAGGGCCATACCTATATAAAACATGTCTGCGAAGTTTTTTTTTTCAAAATACCAAACAGATTGCATTTGAGCCATGCCTCATTTCACTCTATTTGCTCTATTCCAGCCCTGTCTTCACAAGGACTGATTCTGTGGCAAATGAGCTGCAGCTGACCACGCCCAGGCACGAGCGTTATGTTACCATGCTGTTACCATGCTGTTACCACGAGCGTCATGTTACCATGCTGTTACCATGCTGTTACCATGCTGTTAACATGCTGTTACCACGAGCGTCATGTTAC